CCTGATCATCCTATATACATAAATGTTTGTGCCTTATTGACTTTAAGAATTAATGTCAGAGCACTTCCAGGATGGAGACATGAGGAGCTCCTGGTATACTCTCCTTATTGAAACAACCACACTGATCAAAATTACAAAAAAACAACCATTGCCTCAGACAATGAGGTAATTTATGCCTCAAGGTATTGTCAAAAACACTGGAGCAATACATTGCCAATTAGTGGAGGCTAACAGCTGGGAGTGATATCAATAACAGTAAACCAGCCAAAAGCTTGATAGGGAGGTGAAGGAAAAGGAACTTAACTAGGGAGGGAAGGAGAGAAAAAGAGAGGGAGGGAGAGGGAGAGAGAGAGAGAGAGAGAGAGAGAGAGAGAGAGAGAGAGAGAGAGATTCATGAATTTGTTGTTTCACATATTTTGCATTCATTGGTTGCTTCTTGTATGGGCCCTGACCAGAGAATTAAACCCGCAACCTTTCCCTATGTGCTCAGTGGTTGGAGCATGGGTCCTCATGAGCACTGCAGGTTGAGGGTTCGATTCTCCCTCAAGGGCATATACCTGGGTTGCAGGATCATTCCCAGGCCCTAGTCAGGGCTTGTGCAGGAGGCAACCAATTGATGTCTCTCTCTCACATCAATGTTTTCTCTCTCTCTTTCCTTTCCCTCCCTCCCTTCCACGCTCTCTTGGGTGAGGATTAACAAAGATAAACAAAACAAAAAACACCTCGGAACCTTGGCATATCAGAACACTCTAACTTGAACTACTGCACTAATGCAAAAATAGCATGCTAAGTGAAAGAAGCCAGACACAACCGACCACATATTATATGATTACATTTACGTAAAATGTCCAGAAAGGGCAAATCTAGAGACAGAACATGGATTACTTGTTGGCTAGGGCTAGAGGTGTAAGTTGAATTAATTGTAAGTGGGCATGACGGATCTTACTGGGGTAGTAAAAATGTTTAGGACCTGATGGGTAGCTCAGATGGTTGGAGCGTTGTCCCAGTACGACAAGGTTGCAGTTTGATCCTCGGTCAGGACATATACAAGAAACAGCCAATGAATACATACATGAGTGGAGCAATAAATCGAAGTCTCTCTCTCCAAAAATTAATTAAATTTTTTTTAATGTTCTAAAACTGATTTATGGTGATGAATGAACAATTGAACAAATTTTCTAAAAGTCACTCTATTACACACTAGAAACAGGCCAATTTTAACATTTGTAAAGTATAACATTTGTAAAATAAAATTGTAAAAAAATGTCTAAAAGAGAAGAGAGACATTGTAATAATGCTCTACTCACTATGTTCTTTCATAGTCTCCTTCCCAACACACAGTTCTTTCAGGTTTTTCATCCATTTTTTCTTAAATGTATTTTATTATTCAACATCTTATAAGAATCATTACATTGTGAATTTCCTAAAGATATTTGTCACCAAATACTTGCAATTAAATTTGAAAAGTAAAGAGGGGGAAGTAAAAAGAGAGAGAGAGAGAGAGAGAGAGAGAGAGAGAGAACCTGACTAAAACCACTGTCATTCCCATGGGAGGGAGAAGTCAAGGTGACATTGTGTATGCCAAAGCTGCATCCTATGAGGAAATGCATCAGAGGCTGCATAGTGAGGGGGAAATAGAGTTTACTGAATCGGTTTTGCCAAGTCACTAAACAAATAAACAAACAACTATGACAACAAGCCCTGGAGCCAGTCAGGATCAGTCTCCAGAGTTGCTACTATGGAAATATATGGTTTGCAAACAAAAAATTATGAGACATACAAAGAAACAGGCAAGTGGGACCCATATACACAGAAACTGCCTTTGAGAAGACACTGCTGTTGGACTTAGCAGTCAAAGACTTCAAAGCAGCAATCCTATATAATAAAGAGGTAATATGCAAATGGTCATTATGCTGTGACCGATCAGCAGGAGGGCGGGGCAGCGACCTACCTGTGGCAGACAGCTACAGGAGGGTGGGGCAGCGAGCTACAGTGCGTGGGAGAGCTACAAGCGGTGGTGGGCGGGGTGGCCAGCTGAGGCAAGCAGCAGCGAGCTACTCTCGCACGGTCTCGTGTTCAATAGTCAAAACAATTTTGCAGAAGACAAAGTTGTAAGACTCAAATTTCCCTGTTTTAAGTTACTACAAAACTGCAGTAATGAAAACAGTGTGATTCTTGCATAAGGATGGATATATAGATCAATGGAATATAATTGAGAATCTATATATATAAAACCCTAATATGCAAATAGACTGAACGGTGGAACAACCGAACAACCAGTGATGTGCACCCGTGGAATGTGACGGGTGTCAGCAGCAGGTGGCAGAGCGTGGAACAGAGTGGGTGGCAGGATGGTGGAGCAGGTGAGTGGGAGTGCCAGACCAAGGCATGGCACCTGTCACTGTCATCGGGGCGAGTCTCTGGTGGTTACTGAAAATTCTTTGCTCCTTTGTATCATGGTACCGTCTAGTACTCGCACCTGCTGCTGGCGCTGGCCTGCTTGCAACTGCTGCCAACACCGGAGCCACTGCTTGCACCTGCTGCTGGCACCCGGCGCCGGCCTCAATCGCCCCTGAGGGCTTCTCCACCTTCCCCTGCTCCTGAGGGACAATTGGGGCAGCAGTCACCACTCGTAGCCCCAATCACTTTGTGCCATCAGTGGGTGCGAGCAGGGCTGGTGCCATCAGTGTGTGGGAGCAGTGGTGGCGGGAGCAGGGCTGCTGGCAGTCAGGGGACTGGGGGCTGTGGCGGGAGGGGGCGGGTGGGGATGTGGAAGATGGGCCGAGACCCACCCCTGTGCCCACCGCAGCCTCACAGCCCACAGTTCCTTTCAAGGTGCACAAATTTGTGCACTGAGCCCCTAGTTCAGAAATAAACACATTTTGGTTAATTGATTTTTGACAAGAATAAAGACAATTCATGGGAAAAAATAGGCTTTCCAACAAATGGTTCTGGGACAACTGGATATCCGTATGCAAATTTGGACTACTTACTTATATTACACACAAAAAATTAACGCAATATGGATCATAGACCTAAATGTAAGAGTTAGACTATAAAACTTTTAGAAGAAAAATAATTGTAAATCTTCATGATCTTGAGTTAGGCAAAACCTTCTTAGACATGACATCAAAAGGACAGGCAACAACAACAAAAAATAGACCCATTAGACTTAATCAAAATTAAAAACTTTTGTGCTGCAAATGATACCACCCGAAAATGAAAAACCAAAACACAGAATAGGAGAAAATATTTGCAATCATCTAATGAAGAACTTGTTTACAGAATATATAAACAACTCAATAAAAAAAAAGATTACCCAATTTTAAAATGGCCAAAGGATTTAAATGGACACTTTTCTCCAAAGGAAATATACAAAAGGACAATAAAAACATGAAAAGTCATTAGTCACTAGAGAAATGCAAATCAAAACCACAATGAGGCCCTGGCAGGGTGGCTCAGTTGGTTGGGGTATCATCCAGGATACACCAAAGAGGTTATGGGTTTGACTCCTAATTGAGATTCATATGGGAGGCAACCGATTGATGTTTCTCTCTTACATTGATGTTTCTCTCTTGTTCACTCTCTCCCTTCCTCTCTCTAAAAAATCAATAAACACATCCTCATGTAAAGATTACAAAAATAAATAAAATACAGTTGTTTAAAAAAAACACAATGACATACCACTTTCATAAACACTAGGATGATTATAATGAAGAATATGGTGTTACAGCGGGAAGGCCAGGGAGGATTGGGGGGCAGGAAGGGGGACGGTAAGAGACCAACCGAAGGACTTGTATGCATGCATATAAGCATAACCAATGGACATAAGACACTGGGGGATAGGGGAGGCCAGGGGATTGTCAAGGGCGGGAGGGAAAAAAAAGGTCACATATGTAATACTCTTTGTAACACTTTAAGCAATAAAACAAACAAACAAAAAGAATATGGTGTTGACAAGGACATAAAGAAGTTGGAACCTTCATACATGGTTGGTACAAATGTAAAATGGTGCAGCCAATTTGGAAAAACAGTTTGGTACCAGGACTGATGCAGGGGCTGGATTCATGCTATCTCTAACTGCAGTATGTGACAGAGCCAGGACGAGTGGAAGGACAGATTCTTTTAATCCTTTGTTAGCCAGTGTTAAAAGACAAAAATGCTGATGGATGGATGGATGGAAGGATGGATTGGATACTCATGGTACACTTGTTCTATGCAATATACACGGTCCTAGCTATGGGGGCCAAGAAGGAAGAAAAGTCAGTCTTCTATATTTCCTTAGTTGAGTTTCCTCCTTTATTACTTTCATTAGTACATTGGTTACACTATTTAATTCTATCCATGAAAGAGGCTATGCTGGGCAGGTAATCAAACTTTTGTTCCTACAAAAAGGCACTGTACAATGGGGATGATTAATGCAATCGGAAGGGAGAATTCATCACAGAAAAAAAAAGCCAGAGATCGTGACGCAGCCCAGGCACTTCCAGTGACTTGGGACGCCCAAGCTGGATCCAGGATTTCCACTCCGACGGTTCCTGGGGCGCAGGCTGGAGACACTCAGCGAGGAGGCGGGGCGCCCGGCACGGAAGGAACCTCCAGTCCCAGAATCCCCCGGGGACTCCAAATCCCAGAAACCCGCTCAGGAAACCTCCCGGAATCCCTAGTCGGCTGACCACGGACGCCACCAAGTCGGGACCCCGGGGTGCGAGGCCGCAGCGTCTCCCCGCTACCACTTTCCCGACAGAAGAGGGCTTTTCACGGAACGACAGCGACCGGAACGTGCGCGCGCTCTCCGACACGGCTGCCACCAAAGACCCTCGCTCGGCACGGGGTGGGGTGGCTGGCGCCTCCCGTCCTCTCCCCCCCCCGTCCTCGCCCTCCGCCGGAATGGTCAGCCGGGCTTTGAGGGGAGGCGTGCTGGGTTCCGCGCCGCGGTAGAGGCGGTGGTGGCCGCGGGCGGTGGGAGGAGCCGCGTGGTTCCGGCTGCCCGGGCGAGGCGACCCTTGGGTCCGCGCCGCGGGCAGGAGCGCAGGGAGAGGAGCGGCGCGCCGCGGCTCCGGGGAGGCTCCGGCAGCCGAGTCCCCCCGCGCGCCCCCAGCCCCCTCGGCCTCCGGCGTCGAGGCGGGGGAGCCAGGAGATGCCGACCCAGAGGGACAGCACTACCATGTCTCACCCGATCGCGGGCGGCGGCTTCGGGGACCATGCTCACCAGGTCCGGGTGAAAGCCTACTACCGCGGGTGAGTGCCCGGCATGGAGGCGGGGAGGGAGGGGGGAGGCCAGCGCCCCTTGGCCTGGAGGCGGGCAGGGTGCGGGGCTGCAGAGGTGGCGGGGGACTGGACATGTGGTGGCGGGTTGGTCTGGGGGGGCGACGCTGGGGACTCGGGATGGGTGACCGAGTGGCCGGGGGAGGAGCATGGGCGCTGGGTGGGAGCACCCTCAGAGGGTGGTGCGGGGCGCGTCTGGGAGTCGCGTGGCTGAGGGTCCCGAGTAGGGTCCCAGGGAGGAGTCTTGGAATCGAGTAGGTCCACCTGGTGGGTAGGATGGACTCGCCTGATGGGACATTTACACGGGTTTAGAGGTCGTGAAGTCCGGACGTGTGGTTCGGAGTTGAGAGTGGACTCCGAGCGATGCCTCGGTGAACTAAGTTTGCTGTGGGCTGCAAAGACGGGGGCTCCAGTGTGCTGGCCCTTTGGATTTCCAGCAGGCCCAGGGCCTCTGGTTCTCTAAGTCGGGTTTCCTTCCTTGCCTAGGAAGGAGAGTTCACCAAATGTATCTGGACTGTGGTCCGGCTGCCAGAAAATTAGACATAGCAGTTATTATTGAAGAGTAGAGTCGATGCGTTTTTGGGGATGTGCATTGGGTATTTATGTCTCCAAGATTAGATTGTGCATGCGTAAAGTTTTGTGAACGCTTCCCTGTCAGTGTTGTTGCTTCATGGATCTTCCCATAGGGTGAGACCATGCAAGGTGAGAAGAGGAGGAGGCTAGACACAGCTGGAAAATCTGTGATCTTTATTCATATTATTATCTAAGTTATAATTACTGTGGTTTACCAGAAATAATCCAGTCCTGAGATTGTTGTATTAAATCATAGTCCAACATAATCGGTGACCTGAAGTGTCCCCATTCCCTTGGATTCAGTTGTGGCTTTTAAATTTCTTTGATCTAATTATATTTAGGAGAAGTAGAAAGGTGAAATGTTAGTGTGAGAATAAAGGGTTGAAGCTAAGGGTTAACAGAAAACCCAACCGTCTTGGCATGTCTTAACTGCTTGTCCAAGCAGAAATAAATTGCTTTAAAAAACTCAGGCACTGGGAGGTTGAAACTGCAATGCATACTTGTACATTCCTGAAAGGATCAGTGAAGATAGCAAACTTTCAAAATGCCTCTCCTTTTGATTTCAAAGAAAATATAAACCCCTAAATGTTACTGACTGATGTAAGGACATACTAGTTTATTTTGTTTGCTGCCATGAGGCCTCTGACCTGTGTGTATCAGCTTGACTCTATTCAGAAGTTGTTCACAGGTATTATTTTGGACAATATCAGTGTTTTTGTTTAAATTGATCAAGGAGGTCTTTGTTTGTTAATTTTCCCAAGGATATTTTCCCCATTGATTTTTAGAGAGAGTGATAGGGTGGGGAGGGGGAGAGGGAAGAGAGAGAGACATTAATGTGAGAGAGACACATCGATTGGTTGTCTCTCGAACGCACCCCAACTGGGGCCAGGGATCAAGCCTATTACCCATGTATCTGCCCTTGACCAGGAATTGAACCCACGACCCTTCCGTGCGGGACTGAGGCTCTAACCACTGGGAACACCAGCCAGGGTGATCAAGGAGGTCTTGATTTTAAAACAATGCCAAGAATGGTGTGTAGGTTTTTTTTTTGTTTTTTTAAATGGTTTGTAGTTGTCACAGTTGACTCAGCTATGAATTTTGCATTATGGGAAAAAAGTTTTGCTTCTTTTATCTTACCTTTAATTTAATAGATACTTCACTTTAGAGTGTGTTCCATTTTATAAAGTCTACAGTTCATGAGTTGTTAGGTACAGGGCATGAAATACAGTACCTGGTTTTTTTTTTAAGGTATCTGATTATTGGTAGTTTAAAAGATAGATTAAAAAATGAATATACACACATGGTAGGAGAGTACAAATTGTACAGATGTAAAATAAAAAGTGTTCCCCATCTCACCTTCCCAACCTCCAGAGGTAACTACTGTTGACAGTTGATTTCTGGTTCTTCTGGAGGTTGCCTTTATTATTTTAAAGGTTATAGTTCTGTTTTGTGATTTATCAACTTTAGATAATATCTTTTGATACTCTGAAAGATGAGAAACTGGATGCATACTACCTTTTGCTTTTTCTCCTCCTGGTGCCTCTCAATTTTTAATGTTAGTCTACTGTTTTTAGTTTTCTGATTTACCTTTATGACTTAAAATATATAAATTCTTGACTTATTAAATATGGATAGTTTTCAATTATTCCAACTATGGAAGATGAAGAAACTGGTGCTTCTTTGTTCCCATTTTTATTAGTTTGACAAATGTACATAGGCCTAATTAGTAAATTAAAATCATTGTAAACTCCTCCTTTGGAAAGAAATCAAAGTATGCTATACTTTAGGAATGTATTATCATATTTTCTTGGCTCATTACCCTTTTAATGCTTGACTAAAATTTCTCCAAGACATTCAAGCTAACATTTTCTTTGTTTTATTTTATACCTATGAATTTTTGCTAAGGAATGAATCTCTTGCCCTTTAGTGCTTTTAATTTAATGAAAGCTTTCTAATAGTGCCTTCATTTCAAGCCTCATTTAAAGACAACATCAGCACTCTAAATTGTACCAATTTCTGCCCTCTGAAATTAGATCTGTTAAGATTATATGTTTTTAACAATAGTCTAAATGGATGGTTATGATATTACAGTCACCTGCACATTACTGCAGATGAAACTAAAATGAGTCACCAATGAGGATAGTTAATAAACAGGTTGGCTCACTAGAACACCTACCTGATTTTAAAATAAAAATCCTTCTTGTCAAGAAATGTAAGGACAATCTGCATTGGGAAAAAGTATTTTTGTTTCAGATTTTCTGAATAGCTATTATCCAAGAGCTTTCCCCTTATTGCCTTCTAACAATATTTCTATCCAGTAAATGTTGAATCTTGGAATAGCAGCATTTTGTAGTGATTAAATGGCCCTCTCCTTTCAAAGATGTGTATAGTGTTATCATTCTGTTAAATTTCTTTTTAGTATAAATGTGATGTCTCCTAGCTATCAGACATTTAATTAGATTCTTTTCTAGTTTTTAAGCACTGAGACTCTGATTTTATTGGAGCCCACCTAAGAGTGCCTGTCTCACTCTTATTCTGAACCCCTCTTTCCTTGCCACGGTAGCTTGTCAGTGAGTGGCCTTAGTTCCGAGGAAGAGAAACAGGTTTTGTGGGTTAGTGATAGATTGCCATTGGATGTGATTATCCTTATATGAAATTACTTGTTATTATGGGATTTAACTACTCATTTCTTTACATTATCAGTGTTTAGGAAATTTTGCAAAAAGCTTATAAAAAGTGCTTTTGAGCAGTTACAACAATCCAGAGGATTCTTTGTGTGCCCATCTACAGATAAAAAGATTGTTAACTCCTTGCATATTTGGAATGTATAGCTGGTTCAGTGAAGAAATCGGCAGGATTTTTTTTTTACTGTTAACAAGTCTTGACAAGACTTGTTTTTTAAAGTATTGCAACATAATTTTAGTGATATACTTTAGTAATGGTTCTAAGGAAATAAAAATAGTGTATGGAGTTGAGAATTGGGGGAATGTTAGTTATTGGTCCTAGAGCTTCGGCATGGCACCTAACCATAGAGCAATTGATCCACAGCTTTACTGGGGAGAGAGAAAGGACATAGTGGCCTGGTGCCAAAAACCAAAACCCAAACAACCCTCTCAGAAATTTGAATTAGATGATACGGAGATAAGTTGCGTGTTAGTAGTGAGGACTAAGCTGAAGAGTTGAGGGAGAGGCTGGTGAGCCCAGGACCGACCATGTGCAAGATCTCATGAAGCAGAGGAGAAGAAACAGTTCTCTACAGAAAATTCTCCCTGCGGGGCCGATGTGGTTCAGTAGTTGAGCATTCACCCATGAACAAGGCCATGGTTCGATTCCCAGTCAGGGCACATGCCCGGGTTTCAGGCTAAATCCCTAGTAGGAGTGTGCAGGAGGCAGCTGATCGAAGTTTCTTCTCATCATTGATGTTTCTGTCTCTCTCTCCCTTTCCCTTCCTCTCTGAAATCAATAAAAACATACATATTTAAATTTTTTTTCCCTAGAGGTCCAGGATAGCTTTCTAATACAACTCCCAAACCTCTTTTTAAGGTAACTTGAATGTTGTTGTTTTTTTAATGATTGAAATGGACCTTGTTAAAACATGAATTTTAAAAATTCCAGACTTGCTTATGATTTCACATATTACTTAAATGTGTTTGAATTCAATGTAATAAACTTGTTGGCCCTAGACGGTGTGGCTCAGTTGGTTAGAGCATTGTCCTGTGCACCAAAGGGTCACAGTTTTGGTTCAGGTTCGATCCCCAGTTGGGGGCGTACAGGAGGCAAACAATCAATGTTTTTCTCTCTTTCTTCCTCTCCCTTTCTCCCTCTCCCTCAATCTTCCTCTCTCTCTAGAATCAATGAAAAGCATATCCTCGGTGAGGATTAAAAAAATATATATATATATATTGTTGAACACCTACTATAAGCCAGGCGTGTGGTGCTAGGGTGGACACAGAGGATAATTACAAGGCTCTGCCCTTGAGAAACTAAGAAACTTATAGGAGGAAAGACATAGAAGAGTTAATAAATGTGTGTGTAAGGTATTTGCAGGGATGGATGTTGGAGAGGAGCTTGGGGTGAGGGAAGCCTTGCTAGAGGATGAAATGTTTGAGGCTTTTATTTTTTAATATATATATATTTTATTGATTTCAGAGAGGAAGGGAGAGGGAGAGAGGGATAGAAACATCAATGATGAGAGAGAATTATTGATTGGCTTCCTCCTGCACGCCCCCTACTGGGAATCGAGCCCGAAACCTAGGCAAGTGCCCTGACTAGGAATTGAATTCAGGACCTCTTGGTCCATGGGATGACGCTCAATCCACCGAGCCACACCAGCCGGACTATAGTTAATTTTAATGTATGTTATGGAAAGACCCATTTCATTAATTTTCTGTTTCCAGATT